TACCCAAATCTTTCTGACTTCTCCTCCTCTTAAGACTGCAGGTTACTTTCCTGTTTGTTTGGCACATTTCCTACGGCATCCATTCCTGTGGACCCCAGCCAGCCTGGGGTATGAAATTATGTTTTCCCCTTGTTACACAGTGGCCCAGTGGCAAAAGAGACTGCATTATTTACTTGAAGTTCTGTGCAGACAGTCATCATCAAAAATAGGAGTAGAAACCTGGCCTCCTCATGGTTGGTGCAATGTTTTAAAAGCAGAAGTAATCTTCTAGGAAATGTAAAACTCATAAGGATGCCAAGTCCCACATTCTGTGGGTTGTAATGTTCCAGCAATTTAAAGGGTTTTGACCCTTAAAAAAAAGGTTTTATTTTTCAGGGGAAAGTGCAAAATATTTTTTGTGACCCTTTCTGTTATTGCTTGCCATTATGGCTGAGGCATGTAATCATTTAATTTCTTTCTCTGAAATTGAACTGTTGCTTTTTTCCTCTTTCCTCTTGGGCTCTATACAAAGCTTCTTTGTAAGTAAGACTTGAGTTTCGGTTGGAATTCTCCTTGCATGCCAAATGACCTAATTCACTGCAGGGATTTTAGACATGTTTTCGTTTTTTAACTTTAATAATTAAATGTCTTTCCCATTCATTATTCATGTAGTTTTGATTTGTAGCTAGTAGTTGTACTGATAACAACAGATTTTCTGTAGTGGTTGGATAAACAGCTCTTTTTTTTATTAACAACAGAATGCACTGACCTTACCCCCGTGTGTAATTTCCCTGACTTCAAAGGCAATGTTTCTGATTTGGGCCATAATCTGACCCGTAATATTTACCTTTTTTTCATTTGATAAATTTGACCTAGTGAGAGGCACATTTAGGTTTAAAAACAGGAAGGAAACATCAACAAAGCAGGCAGTGAAAATATTTTCTTTGAAACTATGAATGTCAAACATGGTTTGTTGTGTTGCAAATATCAGGAATAATAGGTGATGGCAGTGACTGGATGAAAACAGAGATTTTTTATTTGAGAAATAGCTAGTTTCACTACAGTCCTTTTTTGAAGCAACTCACAATTAGATCTGACCTTTGGAGGTGCCAGTTAAGAGTTGCTATGGCCACAGATTCTCATGGAGGAATGGTGGAGGAGGGGTAATTCTTGAAAAATATATTTCTAAGAGTATTTTAAAGGTTATTTCCCCACCCACCCATCCCTATAACACTTTTTTAGCTGGACAGTAATTGAACATCTTACAGATCTGCCCTTTCTTGATGTTTTACACTTCCAGTAAAAGTATTCACAGCTTCGTTTTTCAGGAAAAACGTACTTGATATTTAGTCTAGACTTCCCTTTTGTCCCTATCTTATTTTCAGTCATAAAATGTTTGCATTTTTATTGTGAATGTTTTAAATGAGGTCAACATTTAGCATTTTAAATAAGAAGAGCAAATTATTCTTAATGAAATTACAAAATCATTTGAATGTATAAGTCTATTAACAAATCGCACCAGTCAATTAATTAGCTACAGATAATTGTGCACACTTAACAATACCGGTACATTAGTTTACAGAATGCAATTGAGTTAAAAGCTAAGAACACCACAAAATTGTATTTTCAAGTTTAAAAGTGCACAGTGAAAATCTATTTCCATGTACATGCACGATTCTTACAGGATTTTGTTTACATGCATGAGGGTAAAATGTATGTTTTTTTTTCAAAGACTAAAAATAAATGGCATTATTTTATATTGTCTTCTAATTATGTGATGCACAGAGATGCACAGATGCACAGATCCCAATTAAGAGTGTGGCTTTGGTTTCACTTACACTGCTGCTTGCTCTGAAGAGCTTGCAAACTCTTAGGCTGTATCTACACTGCAGATATCTTCTGTCAGGGCTATAAATGTCAGAGAAGTGGAAGATCAGTGGAATTCCTTAGTGTAGATGCCATAACATTGCAGGATTATTCTTTTAGCAGTGTAGTTGGGATCAGGAGTGTGTCTTTTTTTCTTTTACGATACTGGTCCGAAGAGCATTTTTCCTAGTACAGTCTTGGAAAGGGCACTCTCCTGGCAGAAGAAATCATTTATACTAGTCCAGTAAAGTCTAACTAGGGTGGCTACAGCCTATATTTTTGGTCGTTCAGAGAGATCCATAGGATAACTTTGCTGAACCTGGCTGCTTATGATTGAATGCTGTACAGGATCAGTTCTGAAATGAGAGACGGGTGACTGCATGCAATATGCAGTTGAAAGGACAAAAGAAACAAAAATATTAAGATTTGCCTATATTTAATGCACCACTTTGTCCTGATCTTTTAAAATTTGGTCAATAATTCTGGGTTTATAGATTGATAAGGAAGCCATTCAACATCTTACTGTTCCTTTGTGTGTTCAGGAAACCAGAAACAATTTGACAAACAAGCAGAAAATTACAAAATATTAAGAACTGACAGACTGAAATTTCTGCTGCTTGAACAGTTTTTCTGGTGCTGAACATTTCTGCTCAGGTTTCTTCAATAAAGTCTTTATGATCTGACATCTTTATGTACTGAGCAATACCCTACTCCCCATGCAGTCGTATGGAAATTAATGAAACTTCGTGAAGCAAGTAGCTACTCTATAGGTAAGAGATTTGTGATCTGTCTCCAAAAGAAGGTAGTAAAAAGCAGTGAGAATTAATTAGTGATTGTAAAGTGTGTTGAAGACAAAACAGCATGACATAAGTAGTATTGTTATGTTTGAGGCCCAAATTATATGCTGTTGGAGTTGAATATGTTAACTGTATTTCCGTGGGTTGTGGAAGGGATTAGTTATACACTGATCTTGGCTGTGCAAAACCTGTTGCTGTAATGACTACCTTCTGCCAACCCAAGAAAGGGTTTTGCAAGACTGTGTTTTGCTCTGTGTCTCTTCTGCTTTCAGCCGTCTTTGCCGTTCGTATCCCGTCTTGAAATCGGTCGATATGTTTAAGTTCCGGGGACCATCCGTTGTTGGTGACCGCCTAGTCTTCAATGCAATTGTGAACAACACATTTCAGAATAGGTAAAGGTATTTGTACTTCTTGTGTTTCTTGGCTTCTCCAGCACCAACTTAACTGCATGTTTTAGGTTTTAGCCGTCAGTGGGCTTTGCCTTATTGAATGAAAGATATTTTTTTAACTTTTCTGAGTGAAAGTTTTCTAAAAAGTATTTTAACTTTCACTCTCGAAATATAAAGATTTTTCATAGCCTAATGCTCATCCTGCAAATTCTGATGCCAGACTTCAGGGATTGTAAGGAAACATTTTGCTGTTAGGCCCTTGAGTGATCAGAAAGCTACAGCCTGTGGCCAGGCCCTTCCTGTTTGGTCATTGTTGCCAGTCTGGGGTTCGTGTTTTTGCTGGCGTTTGGCAAAATTCACGCTGTTTTGTTTTTTCTTCATGGTCTGAATGCATGCAGGGCTGAGTCTTTGTCAATGGCCGTTTGAAATAAATGGCTACAGCCTAAAGCCAACCTGCCTTATGGAGGAAAGGTGTGGAGTAGGGTCATTGTAAGAGTGGAACATGCATTTGGGGAAGCTAAACACCTGTTCTTGGGATTCAGTTGTGACTTCTTACCAGTCTTCTGCAGATTCTGACTGCTTATGGTTACCAGCTTTTTCTCTTTCCCATGCATATGTGCTGACTCCTGTGCAGATTTCAGACTTCTGTTGTGTTTGCACCACAGAGAATAACTCCCCCCAACTCTGGCAAAGGAACTGTGAGTTTGGCACTAGTCTGCTGGGCTGGGAGTCATTCCCAACCACGGATATGGTTCTTTGGGCCAAGAGAGGACCTTTGGGCCTGCACCTCGGCAGTGATACAACTTACATTGAGCCCTCTTCCTTCAACCAGGCCCTACTCTAGAGCAGCAGGACATAGTCACACAGGTCATGAACGGTAGGAAGACAAGACACAGAGGCACAAGAAGAAGCAATCACTCCTCCCACCTTTGTGGGACAAACACTGTCCTGGCATAGCTGTTCTGTGGCTGCTTTCACTGTAGGCATGTTTGGTCCTGCCCGAGGGCTAGCAGGACACCTTCATGCTGTGCATCTGCAGAATGTCAAATCGATACCATCTTGCTGACTTTTGCTGTCTCTCCTCAGTCTGCTTGTTGGTGTTTGCATTTTGCTGCTTAGCTCCCTTTCTTCTCATTTTACTAGCACTATTTATATGGAGCCACCTTTTATTTCACTTCTGAAACGTGTCTGTCCAGACTGAGTAGTTTATTTCCTGTGCTACAGAATTTATTTGATTCAGACTTCCTGCACCCATGAAGTCTGAAGCAGTCCTGCTTAGTATGTCTCAGGGCTACTACTGCATCACTTATAGTACTTCAATAATTAATTTAAACTCTTATTTCTGTGTGGAGGTTGGTGTCCGTGTTGAGGCTTATAACTGTGAAGAATGAATCAAGGACCAAGCACAGCATATTAACAGTGCTTTTCTCATTTTTCATGCTGTAAATGACAAAGGAGAGCTGCTCACCTTCCCCAGAGTTAAACCTACTACAAAGGTCAGCTCTCGTTCTCGGAAGCAGGGTGAATGTGTATGTGGGATTACGTGGTCCAGCCCAGCAGCCTGCATGTCACTTAGCCAGCTACTGACAGCCTTCTGGGAAAGGCAAGGACTCAGCAAGGCAGTGCACTGAAATGCATCTTCTTGGGGAAGGCACAGCCTCATTTAGAGGGCTGAGAAAGCGTCCCAATGCAATGTTTGCCTTTGAGAATTTTGTCAGACTTCAGCCATCTGAATCCGAGTAGTCTGGTGGAGAACAGTCTTTAGATGATTGAAAGAGAGGATGAATCTGTGTTTCGGAAGCACATGTCTGTACTTCCAGGTCTGATACGATTTCCACTGACTGCAGAGGATGCCAAGAGAGCAAGAAACTGACTGAAGCTCTTAAGGGTTAAGTGGATAAAGTTACTTTTATAAACTCTTACTAAACACACGAAACAGGATTAGTTAAGAAGTCGATGGGAATCCCCTTCCATGACCGAGTGGACTGTCTGGTTCTTGAACATGGAGATTTCCCTGCAAATGGTTCAGTAAGCACTCAGAGCGGTGCAAATACTGTTGTTGAATTGTGTGCTTTTTTGTCACCTGTCATTAACATATTGGTCCAATTATATGATTTTTGAGAGCCTGCATAGACAAGGATTATTTGAGAAGAACAGACTGTTCTGTGAAGCACTGGGACTAGGACTAAAGTACTAGGATAGTGCTGCTCTGAGGATACTTTCCTGCTGGATTGATTTGCCAACTTAAGGGATGTTGTCAACTGAAGTCACTAACTCTGGATACACTGAGCAAAGTGCAATGTACAGTGTCCAGCTTATTTTTAATACCTCTCTGGGATTTGTCCACTTAGAAGAAATATTTTTAGTTGTTGTTCAGTTGTACAAAAGTGTCAAAATAGAATGTGCCCTAATTTAATCAGGTTTATCATTGTCTGCTTTTCTTTTTGCAAAGGATGGCATGAGGCGGTATCGTGGGGCTATTGCACGAAGGAGAATTCGACTTGCCAGGTATGGCTGGGTTACAAGTAGAATTTGATTTTGAAAAGTCTTCAATTTTTAATATATTCTCTGGAAAAGCAATTATTTGCTAAGTTGTCAAAATCTGCTCAAACATACTTGTTGCACTGCTTAATTTTTCAAATCATTTTGCCTAAGTTGCCTTGAAATCATTAGGGGCTATTCCTCTCCTCAAAGTCAATAGTTAGCTCTTGGCTGGAGTGTATTTTGATTTCCCCTTTGTTCTTGAAGAGAATGGGTGTTTTGCATATATGTCTTACAACTGAAGACTGAGTATGAAGTATTTAGAAGCCGCTTTAGCCTATAGAAGTGACTGTTATTAGCACATTATTGGCGAAAGTGCAAGAACTAATTAATGCTACTATTTTCTGTTGAACTTTGTTTTAGAAAATGTATGCTTTCTGCTAAGGAAGTCATGCCTTCTGATCTTTGGGATAGAAGCAACCAGGTAATCTTTAGACCATGTCCTGTTGTCTGCCTGCATAAAATGATCCATTTGTACACATTTTGGGTGTGCACAACAGTTGTACAGATTTTGGCAGTTTCCATTGTACTTAAGAATTGCGGTAATTATGGAATAATGCATAAATGTGTAATTAGATAAAGTTTATTTTTTCTTCTGGGAAAAAAAAAAGTCAAGAGAGTAGATACCTCAATATCAGATGTTACCTTGAGTTTAATACAAAGCATAAAAAATGTCTCTAAGATAGAATCTGCAAATTGTTTTAACAAGTTGCCCTACAAGCAGGAGAACTAAAGAAGACAGGTTTCCTGCAGATGTACGTTCCAGTGTCCTGTCTTTGCCTTTCCCTGTGGCATCAATTCCAGTGTCCATAGCTCCTCTGTGTCCTTTTTTCCTTTGTTGCGGGGCAAGGCAAAGTGCATGGACTGACTAGTCCAGAGTTGTATGCGAGCTGATTTGCCAATCATATGTAGCTGACCAGAATGTTTTAAGAGAGGAATTTTGCTGTCAGCAGCTCCCAGAAATGCTTCTGCATCTTTTTCTGTTATTTCTGAAAGTAAGCGAGTAATAGTTGGAGCTTTATAACGCAGGAAGTGAATCTCTATTAGCAGTGGCATCACCAGTAAAGTTTTAATCCTGTGAACACAGATTTTTTTTTTCTACCAGAAAATGGACATGAACACAACGTTAAAAATTGAGTTTTCAAATTTATTTAAGATTAAATGGATATATGTCATTTAGGACTTCTTAAGCTATACATCCTTTTGGTACAACATGTAAATTAGAGCTCTGCCCATGGAAGTCAAGCAAAAACTTGCTTGACTTGCTTATTTGCAATCTCTGGGCTCTGCGCAAAGCCCCTGCCAAGGTACACCACAGCTTGATAGAATGGAGAGGTTAATTTTCTAGCTGATTGTAATTACTTATGAGAGGAAAAAAACAAAAAAAATTCAAAACCATTAGTTTAGTGCCGCAGAGGTTACCTGTATTATCTCTCTAGTGGTCACAGTTTTTCTGCTCTGCTTTATAATCAGAGAAGCCCAAATTAGAATTTTGTTGTTGTTGTTTAATTAGGGTTGTTTTGCCATCAGCCATGTAAGCACATAATCTAGCTATTGGAAGTATTTAATTCAGAAACTACTGGACTGTGTTTTTTGGAAGGAAAACACTTACGGGGAAAATACACATTTATTTCTGATTCAGGGGTAATGATAGAAAAATAGCATCTCATCTCTGAAATGCTTAGTAAAATGTACCTTTATGTCTTTGTTTTCAACAGTATTTTTTATATTTCAGGCATATTTGAGTTACAGCAATATAGCCACGCTGGCACGCCTGGCAGCAAAACCTGGATGGGAAATAACTAGTACCCTGGATAATGTAAGTTGAAGAATTGTGGAATAGCTGCATGGCCACTTTAGTTATGTTTCACCATAAGAGTTGGGTGAAGAAAAGCAACATTTTACACGTGTAAATAAATTCATTGGCTCAACAGTATTTGGTTTATTGTGGCTAGGACTGAAGAACCAAATTCCTAGGCTTTCCCTGAAAGGCTGGAAAGCACTGTGCAGCTGGGAATCGTGGTGGCCCTCTGAGAAGGTCCCGAATGGCTGGTAGAACATGGTAGAACATAGGGCCCCAGGAGCTCCTCCGCTGGGCTTGTTGAGCAACCACACTGGACAATGTAAAACACAAGCAAGCAAAACACTGCCTCGTTTCTGTGAAAAATTAAGTGCTTCTGATGTTTCACTAACTTGATTTCATCAAAACACCAAACTTAGACTATTTCTGCCTAGGCAGTGAGATCTGTTGGGCGTCTCATCACTGTGATAAACAGAATGTGTGTGGCAGTCTGTAATGTGGTGCCTTTACCAGCTTTACAGAACAGGAGATGCCTCTAAGCAGTAGGCATTATCTTGTGGTGTTTTAAATGAATACAAGCTGTTCATATGCTATCACTCCCTGCCTTCTCAGAAGACCACTTGACTCTCTTTTTTTCTATGCATATTTTTCCTTTCCAAAAGCCAGCAAGGAAGATGGCTCTCTGTTCATGGATCAATGCTACAAGCTTAAAATCCCTGAGAAATCATACATGAGGCAGTTGCAAAGCACACGTTTGCTGTTACGGAAAACAGTAGCAAGAAAACTTTAACAATTGAGAAAAAGCAATTTTAATGCAGTTGCAGTGCATATTTTCCAAACTTCAAAGAAAATCTGTTAAGCTTTGATTCTGAAATGTACTCAGTGGCTAGCAGATTACTTTATGAACACATAGATTCTGAGATTTTAGAGGAACTGGAAGGGACTTAAGATCTTTTAGTCTCATCTCCTGCATATTGCAGGCTTTACCTGTCCAGCATCTCCAGCAAAAGTTATGCATGTCCTTGGATCTCTGATGCTAGTGTAGATGCAGCCCCAAGGAATGCTGCTTGCTGCACTATGCTGTTTCCTTGGCCATTCAGGCCAGCTCGCCTCCTGCCTGTCTCTGTTCTCAGGTTAAAATTTGAGTCCATTAATTTTAAGCATTGTAGCATTTCCTTCTACCTATCTTTTTCATTATGCAAGACTTATGAAACATGCCAAGCCCTCTTCTTGCCAGAATTTTGTGTATTTTGTTATGTACAGGTTCTCCCCTTTAAATTCTCTGTCGTGGGTTTCAGACCTAAATCCTGGTGGTAGGAACTGTTGTTTGGTTGGGTTTTGTTCTGCTTGAGTCCCCTGCACGGCAGCTACACCATTTCATCCTGCGTGGCCTCCCTGCAGCTCCTTCCTGCTCGCGCTGACACATCCAGTGGATTCTGCTCAGAAATTCTTAAACTTCTGGAAAGCTTCAAGTAACTCTCACGTCAGAGGAGCCAAAATATCCTCCTTTCCTTTTTGAAAGTTGTGCTTTGCCTCCCCTTGCATTCCTGTATTTATGTGGCTTCACTTGCTTGAGGGTCAGGTTATAAAAAGGCAGGATTCTGGACAAATGTCTACCTACGTTTAAAGTCTGATCTCTTGTCACCAGTCACTGCTGCCAAATTTACAAAAAGCAATGCAGGAAGTGGTCAGGTTTTAGATTTGGAGGACTGACACTTTTGTAAGACTCTCTATAACGGTGCTGAGAGAAGACAGTTCTTTAATTCCTAAGTAGATCTGCTGTTGTTTATGAAAGTGATGCTTTCTGCATGGTCCTGTCTTTCAAGACAGAATTAAAATGCACTGAAATAATTCTCGAATCTTTCTGAGACATCTGCAGTTTGGAAGGTGTTTTCGGAGCACATGCATGTAGAATGAGGAAGAGGTTGTACCAACCTTTCATTCTCATCTGTCTCCTGAGATGAGCAGAGCTCGGCTAACCTCACTACATGCAATTAAAACTGTGTGATCACTCAGTGCTATCAGTGTGTTTGATTTTACATTGTGCTATATTTGAATGTAAAACTAATCTTGAATACCCATCTGTCTCTCATGTCAGATGTAGTCTCACATGTACTCTTGAGAAAATCTGCCTAAGCCAGAGATGTATAACATTTATAAATGTTAAAATATTTATAGCTATCATTCTTTGTTTTTAATATATTGTTCATTTATTTTAGATAAAAATATGGACTCATGAGGAGGGTGATGTCTTGTCACTCAAAGTAGAAATGCAAGTGAAAGTACCATCAGATGTTGCTTTCTCCCTTCTGTCTGACTTCACACGCCGCCAGCAGTGGGACAAACATTACTTGTAAGTAGAACTTATCTTTTCCTTAAGACTGTTTGAATCTACTGACAACTAACCTTTCTGATACAAACGTTTTTTGAAATGTTGACACTTTTCTACCTAATTAAGAAGAAATTGCTCTAAGAAGTTGACATTAAAGATTCATTAGTCGAAGTGTGGATAGGTTTTCCCTTAACAATAAAATCTAATTTCTCCTAAACCTGCTTTATAAAAATAAGGTTGCCCTGGACTGTCAAAAAAGAGAACTGCAAAAAATTTAATACCTTGTGTTAAAATGAAAAAGGTTTCTTGCCTAAACATATGTATGTTAAAAGGGTTAATGTGAGTTAGGTTATCTATAACTTAAACTGGATATACATTGTCAATGCTCTGTGTAAGAAAATGCAGAGCTTGGACTCCTTTCAGTTTGTGTCCTTTGACTGAGTAAGAGAGTTGAGCATCGGCATCCCAAGGTGAGAAATCAAGAAATGAGGAGCTTCAGTACTCACTTTTTAAGAAAATTGACATCTTACAAGTGTATTTGAGTTGCAGTGGACTTTAGAATTGCTTAAAGATGGCTTTTAATTTGCTTTAGATGGTGCAGATTAATGAGTGTTGAGAATTCATGTAAGTTTGATTGAGGTGATAAAAATAGGTAAATAGTCTCATTAAGGACAATCTTCATTGGTTACTCATTGAATCTCAACAGATTTTTATCAGAGGGTGAGAGTAAATGAAAGCTTAAAGGAATCTGAAAATTTAGAGGCTATGCTGAATTCAAGGCTTATTAAAAAAAGGAGTTTGAAGAAATGTTATGTTGCTTTTCTGTATCTAGGTTTCTTAGGACTAACATGAAGCCCAGTTAGCTGGTCAAAACAGCATTTCAACTTAGCATTCTTGTTGCTGAGGCACTAGAAGCTGGGGTAAATTCTGAGTTAGACTTTCTGTAGTGAAAACTAGGAGGCAGCAGTCGCCACTTCCAGTGGAGTGAAAGAGCACATCCTGCCTAGTTGGCCTGTCCTGAACAGAGCAGAATACAATTTGGAATAAAATTCAGTGAAGATGCTTAAGATGAGGAAAACAGCGTTTCAACCATTCGAACAAATGTGTCCTGTCTTTCCGGTGGCATGTCAGGTAGACAAATGTGGTCATTTGGCAAGTGCTAGAGGCAGACTAATTCCCAACAGGAGTGGGCAGTAGGCAAAGGATATGTTGTTAGTAGCTGGCTCCAACACCTTGCAGCCCTTTTAAAAGATTCTTTGGGACCCAGAGGCGGTGTCAGATGTAGCACTCCAGAAAAGCTCAGTCTCTCACTCTCTGTTCCACTCTCTTGCTCACTGTTTGAACATGAAGAGAAGTTACTGCACATCAGGTACTACCCGAGGGTGTCAAATGTCTTGCAGAACTTGTGAAGTGCTACAGGCTTTAAATGAAGATGAGAAAATTTATTACATAACATCTCCACCCGTGACTGGTGGTAAACCTAATGACTTTGTGGTTCTTGTGTCTCGAAGGCAACCCTCTAAACCCAGGTGAGTGTGCAGTTTCAGGTGTGGCTGTGCGTGCTTTGGGACCAGTTTTTATTACTGTTGACCTCTATCTTGGGTCTGTTCCTGGGTGGCAAAGATTTTATGTTATTTTTTAAGAAATTGGGCGAGGCAGTGATATTATGCTGCACAATATGGATGCCTGAATTTGCAAGACCTGATTTGCTTTGTGTTGTGAATATGTGAAGAAATCAGCTAAGAGCATTACACATGTGTATCATAGTCCAGCATTGCTTCTTTGATAGTGACTCTTTGGGAGCGTTATCAGGATAAAAATAAGCCAGAGTGTCTTCAAATTGGCAAATTGGGGAAATAAATGCATGTCCTAGACAGAGAGAGGCTGTCAGTGTGCACGTGACTGGGAGTTTAATTTCTTTTTAATCCCATTTAATGTAGTTCTGAGTATCTTCTTATTGAAGGAAATGCCTGGCCTTTCCTGAAACCTGTGAGTGTGAGACATTTGTTGTGTCAGTAAATTTCATCACTGAATTTCATTTAAGAAGTGCCTCGATTAGTTTAACATATATTGTTTTTACCTTTTCTTTAAATATTAGTTTGTTCTTACATAATGAAGTATGAATAAATGGGACCATTTTATCTGCCTCATGCTTACTCTTTTTTTCTTTGTTTTCTCTTTATTCTTCATGTTTTCAGACTTCATGCTTTTAACAGAACACCGCGCTTAGGTAGTATTCTGCACTGTGCTTTTTTCCCCGCTTCTGAGAACTGGGTTGTGTCTGCCTTTGCTGAGAGTGTCCACTAAGGGTTGCTAAGGTTCTGAATCCCTAGACCTGGTTCCAGATAAACAAAGGGGATGGTGCAGCTAAACAAGTGCAGGAGACAAAATCCACTGGCTCTCTTTTTTCCCCCACATACTTCATCTTCACTAACACTTTCCTCTGGCCCTTTTTAGTCCCTGTGCACCACTCCCTGTCTCTTTTGGGCACTAATATCCCATCTTACCGCTGGATTCCTGCCTATTAGGTCAGCAAGGGCCATGGCTGCTCAGCAGCATTAGGGAGTTTGTTTGCCTTCATATGAAAATGACAGCTTTAGTGTAGCTATTCATATATTTCAATGTAAAGAGATTTCATATTCTGTTGTTGTGGTCCTTCACATGTCTTTGTTCAACATTTTGTTGAGGAGATGTTTGATTCTCGTGCTTGCCCTGCAGTGAACCCTTCGTAGTAGCTGTGAAGTCAGTTACCCTGGCATCCATGCCACCTTCCTCAGAGTACTGCAGGACTGAAGTCCTTTGCGCTGGATTCCAGATCTACAGTGAGAGCAGCAGCTCGTGCACGGTGAGCAGCTCGGCAGACCTCAGTGTCCACCCCTTCTTGGGGTGTTCTACGCACGTGTGCTCTCATTTGAGCTGAATTCTGGTGGAGAAAACAGTAACGCAGCAGCAGAAATGAGTTGATCTCCCCAGAAATCCCACAACGTAGGATTTATCTAGCCCAGCTTGGGCCATGTGCAAGGTAGGGTGGATAATTGAGGTAGATCCTGGAGACACTACTACGGGGTAGTTCATTCAGCCCTAAAATGATGCTTCCAAAAGGTCTGAGTTAGACTGGTCTCTGGTGGCGCCTGTGTCTCTTTACTGGCTACAGAGAAAACCCAAGGAATCAGTTCAGACTAAATGCTTAACTTTTATGTGTCAGAAATTATGCAAGCAGAATCCTATCCCTAGGCAAATTATTGTTTCTCCCTCTGTTTTTTTCCAATGGTAAGTTATAACTTTTTCATTTAACAAAATATACTTCTGAAAAAATAATCTGCAGTGCCCAGTGAGTGTGATTCTTTCCAAAGGCAGCATCTTTGTTCATAAAACACACATGGGCTTAATGTTTTTTGCTGCACTGCTGTATGCAATCACCTACGTTCTTGAGCACCTAGTAGGAGTGAAGACACTAAGATCACTAAATTACTGCAAGAAGAAGTCATGCTGTTTGCTTCAGTTTCATAGTGCTCTTGTTCTTACCCTGAAATACTTCAATAGTCATGTAGGTGGTGCAAAAACTGGCTAACTGTTGCCATCTGTATGCTTTTTAGCTTCACTTACTGTTGCTTAAACAGGTGTGTTACTTCAATCAAGTGACATCAGCTATTCTGGCTCACTTGGCTGCAAATCTGACTGGCTCATCAAAATCCATAGAGGAGACTGCGATAGCGTGTATGAAGTTCTTGGAGCTGGAAGGCAGCAAGGACTGAAGTGTGGAGTCCTCTTCAGAAATTTGTTTGTGAGAGATCAGGTGGTACTGGTTTAATTTCCTGCGTAAGTGTTGATCATTGTTCTACAGGCTGGTTATGTTGGGTCATGTAGATGATTTTCAGTGTGAGCCTCAGAATATTGAGTACCTGCACTTCCTGTTGATTTAGGATTTGGCCTTAGGCTCTAAATTCAACCTCTTAATTTTAAAAAGATGAAAGATTCTGCTCTTAATTGCATTAATTTATTTTGCATAAAGAGGCAGACTTTGGCCCAGTAGGTCTGTGTATCATGAGACTATGTCACCATTGTATGATGATTATTGAACCTAACGCAATCCAGACAGTGGTTAGACAGAGGTAGTTACTGATTTTGCTTAGCAAAGAATTGGTGCAACTACACAACTTCCTGTGCTCTGGTCTGGCTGCTTGGGACCTTGCCCAGGTGTTATGTAAGTGTATTAAACTGCAGGAAGTGAAAGCTCTTAGTCTTAACTCAGATCCATTGGTTTTGGTGTAAATAACTAGGCAGGGTGACAGCAGCTTTATCACTGGCTGATGTGTTATAATCCTAATATTTTACAAGCAGAGAAAAACAAATGAAGAACAGTAATAGCACTTTATTCCTTACCTGGTAATGTTTACTTATCTGTGACTTCCAATAAATCAGTGTTTCTCAGGTTACAGATCCGTTGTGATTCCTTTTGCCAGTCTGTCTGGAAGAGCTGCAGAATTGGTTCCAGAAAAACTGTTAAGTAGCAATATTGGGGGAGTTGGCCTCCTAAAACAGTTCTCCCATAAATGAGTAAATACTAGAAATTTTTGTGCAAGAATGCTATGTTAGCATTGAGTGAATATGAAGTAGTAATAACGTCCAATACATCCACACATAGCTGAAAAGGTTTCAGAGTGATTTCAGAGGTTTTGTTGTAGAGCATTGATTTCGTTTTCTGCTGTTTTGTTTGTATTTGATCAAAAGTGCCCACTTTAAAAAAAAAAAAAAACAAAAAAGCAAAACAAAACAAAAACAGGTAAGACAGTCAGCAGTTAGATTATAACATGAATTGCCAGGGCTGGGAGAACTGAAAGAACTGGAGAATGGGAACTGTGGCAGTCATGTTACTGTAGTCTACCAAGTAATGCAGCCAAAGCTCTCGGGGTCCGATTCAGTTCCCACTATAGCAAAGAGCTCTTTAATTAAACCTGGCACTGAATCAAAGCTCTGATAATGATATATGGGTTCCAGTATACCTCAATTTTGCACATGACTTGTCTACCAAGTGCAGTAGAAGAGACACCAACTGTGTCCTGGAAGCCATCAAGGGTATTAGCAGGATGAGTCACCTGGCCTCTCAGCAAGCCTGATTTACCTTTGGTACAGCACTGCACTGAACCAAAGCATCAGTGAAATCAGGATCTGTCCTCTCTGGCTCCCAGGGAAGACTGGCCCCTGCCTTCCTTAACAGAAAGCCCTGTTGGCACTTGTAACAAGTCAGCAAGACAGACACTCATCTCTGGCTCCCAAAGGGCGACGCTGGGTCTAGATCCGAAGTGTGAGCGTGGCACGGCTTTCACCGCACGCGTGCAGTGCCTAAGTCCAGGAGGAAGGACGGCAGCCCTGCCAGAGCAGAAACCCTGCTGAGCCCCTCCTGCCAGCTCGGCTGGCCCTGCAGGAACAGTCCTGGCCAGGAACCCCTGCAGGGCCAGGAACCCGGCTCCTGCTCCACGTGGTGTAGTGGGTGCGGGCACGCCCTGCCACAGCGAGGGACAGGTGAGTCATTGTGGGCACAAGCTTTAGTGAACAGAGACACCTAATGTTCAGCTCTGAATACATGCGCAGAACTCAAGGGCCCAAGCTCAGCTGCTGCCAAGCGCATGACCTGCCTCCTAGAGCTCCTTATACATGGAAATTAGGTTCTGGCCTAGGTAATGTGTGGTGTTAGTTGTGGTTTTTTGTTTGGTTGCTTTGTTTTTTTTTAGCATTTTTTGAGCCAGATGACCTGGTTTCTGTCCCTAGAGCCTATGTATTTCTAATCCTCAAACATAAGAGTGTGCTCCCGCTGGTGCTGGGGGTGGAGGACCTGTGCATGCTGTTCAGTCTGAGCTCCTGGATCATCCTTAGGCCAGTTACTGACCATGTTGTACTCAGTGGTAAGGGCAGGTGCTTGGGAGAAGCGTGAGGCTAATGAGATACTGATTTTTGTGCTGAACTGCTCATGAGCTCCCACTACGACCTGAACCTGGCTGTTCCCGAGTGGCATTTTCTGTTTCTAAAAGGAGAAGCTCCAGGCTGGGACACTGTCAGCAAAACACTGACATTTCTGGGAAACCACAGCTGCCCAATTCTGGCCAGTGGCTTCATCTCTGTGACCCTGGCACACAGACATTAGCCCTTTCTGTGAATGCAGCTAGAGCTGTGCAGGTAAATTTGTCATTTCCATGTAGCCTAAAGACTCTACAACAAATACTAGCCACCTTCTAAGACAAGGAGATTCCGGAGGCTTCTGCTAGCACAAGGTTTTCCTTAAATTTAATTCTTTGTCTAACTTGAATTTGCTTGCAGTTACAAGCATCTCTTTACATGCAGCTTCTAGAAGAGCTTTTCAAATAGCTTTCTTGTAACTACACATGCCTTTGTGCAGCCACTCAAAGGGAGCATTTATTAGTGGGCCAATTTAGCAAATAGTTCTACGTAGCACTTAGTGAAGTAGAGCCTTAACAAGTAAAGCTCTTCACTGATGTTATATGGAATGCAGTGCAAACCTTTTCAGTACATCCTTTTCCTCAAGAGCAGCAAATAGGACAAAAAGGCAAAACTTCCTTCGAGTTACCCAGCCCATGTAAGCAGGTGTTGTGATTACTTGAACAGCTGTTCCTGTGATCCTGAACATCTCCCAGAGCCTCACCACGTGGCTTTGCAAGGCTGAAGAGGCCTGTCCCCATTTGGCAGACAACAGCAGCGTAGCAGTTAGCTGCAGGAGCTTGGCAAGTGTTTTGGAGTACAAGATGCATCAATGGAAGCGGTATGAAATGGAGGGCTATTCTACCCAGGGATTGGCACTACAAGGAAAACCCTGTCCTGAAGGGAGGGACACTTTTGGCACTGTCCCTTGAGGCAGGTGGCAGTCACCAACAGTAAATTTTTACATCAGTATCATTAGAAACATCTTTTAAGCTAGGATCCAGGTCTGCTGCACTGTTAAAAGTGCTATTACTTCGAACTTTAACAGTTGAATTACAGCTCTGTAATTAGGCTCCTTGATTTTATCCATTTCTACCATTTAAATGTGTGCTCCAGTTGTTATAAACGGAACATACTGTAGCTTCGTCAGCTTAGGTGCCTTTGTATCCAGAGCAGAGCCAAGAAGCCTGAAGTAAGAGCGCTAGCTACTGCATTGATCAGCATTTTATTTTTTTTTAAAGTGCAAATACAAAAAATATCTAGACAATTAAACTTCTGTATTTGTTCTTTGCATTCCAAACCTGTAGCTTCAGTGCATGTTCCTCAGCCCCTGACAATCCTGAACTCAGTTGATTACCAGGTACTACTTCCATGTGTAGCAAGGCCTCCTTATGGATGTTTAACACTTTCATTGAAAGGGTACGTTAATTCTGCTCACGCAGTGGCTTTATCACTGTGCTTTCCCCCAGCCACAGCTGCCTGTTATTGGATGAGGCAAGGTAAGTTTTTAGAAGGCACACATTGGGAAGTGGGGGCAAAGTACCACCGCATTTGACCCATGACAACCACAGCACTAGTAGCCCACTAAAAATCCCAATTTCCAGGTCTGTGGCACATGTCTACGCAGCGCAGGGAAGCATGGTACAGATGCCATGAACAGCACCCAGCACTGCTGCTCAGGCTTGTGCGAGATGCCCTTCAGGCTGAAACAGTGCAAGAGAGGGCAACTTCGGTGCACTTCTCTAGTAACCATGTCCTCCATTCTCATGTGATTAGACACACAAAAAGGACCATCACTGTTGGATCCACTGCCTTTACTGATAGTTGGAGATCTATGGTAGGAACCTCAAGTAATACTGATAAAATATAATTAGTTTTTCAAATACAGGCTTACAGTCTCCATTTAAAAATAAATAAATCTGCCATTAAGCAGACATGTATGTGTAGTACAAAGCAAAGCTTACTCCCAAACTCCCAAGGGACAGCAGGA